TAGTCTTCAAAGATTTATCCGTGATACATGTTCAGTGGATAAAATTTGCGCTTACACGATGTATCATTTGATACATTGGGAATATTTGTTTGATTTACGATGTAAAAATATGCTAAATGGTCGTATGCGTTTTTTGTTCTTCGTTCAATATTCGCTCCTGCTTCTTCCTATGTCTACGTCCTTCGATTAAGTATAAGACACCAGCGGCTATCAGGACAAAACTGCCGACGACGGCTAAGGCAAAGGACCAACTGATATCATTGTGCTCCCAATTAGGCATCCAATCTCGACCATCACCTCTGGCACCAAATATAATCACCGATATAACACCACATATTCCTGCCAAAGTTAAATTGCCACCGATTGCCCACAGAAGCAGCTGATACTTGTCATGCTGACGCGAACAACAAGTATATAAAATAGTCAAAAAACTTCCTATCAGCAACAAGGTGAAGCACAGCGTGAAGAAGAACTGCGTGGCGACGAAGAAATCGGGTAGAAGTATGTCATGTATGATGTAATACTCTTCTTCAAACACCCACCAACATCCATAGAATCTGGTATCATAGAGATGACGCGGATCCTGGAATCCTTGGAAACACACCTGCCAGAGACCTGCAAACAGCATTGTTTTTCAATCGCTTTGTCGCTGCCAGCTAAATGTTTCATGCTTATATAATCACATTATTAGAAAATAAATTATTAATTAGACATAGTAGAAAGATATGTTTCAAAATAGTTTTTCAAATATAATTACCATTCCATGAGAAACTTAAAAAAAAAATCTGTGATAAGAAACAGAATAAATAAAATAATAATTTTCTGACGACTAATCCTATTATGTATATAACACAGTGTACTGGATGGATTTTAAAACTGTTGAACTTGATTTAATTTAAAAGTGAAAGTCAAGTCAAGTATTTTGAATTATAAAATATTTAACAACACAATAAAATGTATCGAGAATTTCTCAGTTTAACTTATTTCTGTACTTATATTGAACACACAGCTTAACATCAATTTGTATATAATGGCTTTAGTTAATATGCATCTTATAACAGAGTCTGATCATAGATGATTTTGTCAAAATCCTATGAGAGAAAGATATATGTAACTTTCCCTATATTATTTCATTCTAACTTCTATTGTTTCACTCTATAACTTTAATTAAGATTATAGAGTGGGATAGTATAAATTCTCAAGAAATACACCAAGTCAAGAGAAAATCAAAATGACTTTATTTTGACGGAAGTCAAAATGAAAATTAAAATAATGATTTTTGATTATAAAATTTGACTGTCTATTGACGTTAAGAATTAAAATAGAATCATTTTGTTCTTTTGTATGTTCTTTGACTTTTGTATGTTCTTTGAGTTAGCGTAAGTATATATATATATATCTAATATTCATTTCTACCAATAGTAGCGAATTCGATCACTTGCGTTGCACAGGAGAAATTATATACTTATGTATCTTTTTTTTTTTCTAGGATTTTGACAAAAATCCTGGCTCGTAGTCAGACTCTAATATAGGATCTTTATGCATCAGTACGCACTGAGTACATTCAATCGAATTTGCTAATATTCATTTCCACCAATGTAGATTAACTTTAATCTCGGTTCAACTTACTCTTCATTTTTTCTAGTTCTAAAAATTAGAAAAAGATGAAGAAAAAGATGAAAAACAAGAATCGAGATTAAAGTTAATCTATATTAATGGAAACGAGTATAAGAGACACCAAAATTGACAACTCCTTTGTGTCTAATATTTGAATATAAATTTCAAATATAAGTTATTTATAGTTGCAAGTATAGATGTATACGCATCTAGTCATGTATAATCTTACCAATCTTGACGAATTGTGGATTATCCAATTTCCCGTCGGTCTCTAGCCAGTTGGGTGTGGTGAACGCGATCACCACCAGAACGAACGCCACCGCCGTGCACACGACGGCGGCCTTGCCCGTCCTTGTCTTTCCCATTACTCGCGAGCGTCACTCGGATGTATATGTAATGAAGGACGGTGGAAAAGGAAGTGTAAACTCCTCGTATTCGCCGTATATTTTCGTATCCCACCTGGAACGCACAAGTATGCGACTTCCTCTCGGCTCAGAGGAAGCTTAGCTTAGCGTGCGAACGCTAGAGTGCGTTGTTTACGCGTTGTTTGCGCCGGTTGCGCATTCCGCAATATGTATCCCCTTCCCCTGGAATTTCGATGACCTTTCCCTCTCCTGTTTTATGGAGGAACTTTTTGTGCCCATTAAAGAAAATTAAATAATAAAATCTTTTTATCCTTTTAACTTTTCACTTTTTGCCTATTCTCCTTCTTTTTATCATATATTAGATCATATATTAAAACTTCTTGAGAGATTATACAATAAAATCTAAGATCTTGAATAATTTTAATAAATGTGTATATATTTGGAACGAATAAAGATTTTAATCATTTTTCTCGACAGTCTGGTACGAGCCTACGGATGTTAAAACGGCGGCAAAGATATTCCAAGTTGGACCACAATGGAAAAACGTACTGCACTTTATCTCGCCTAACCAGAACGAACTGAAAATAATAGGGGAACACTTTAACATCCCCGTTTCCGAAAGTATGGACCTGATGGCTACAAAAAGCGTGGCTGAACAGTTAATCGAACACGTTCCAGTTGTCATAACCACCTTAGGGGCGCAGGGAGTGTTGGTTCGCATCCCAATTGCGTTTGAAATTCGTTGTCTAAAATTCATTTCTACCATATAGATTAATAGCAAATTCTGTCATTTGCATTACATTAAATTGAAGCATATTAAAAGCAGCTATTCATGATATTATATACATAGTAAATATAGGAACACATAAATATTGTAAATGATTAAATATCCGATGATAATATCGTCACGTTATTTAACTGAATGTGTATTATTGTTAAAGTTGATTTCATTATCTAATTATGTAAGAGAAATCCTCCAATTTCCGATCAAAACGGATCTTAAATATTTTGGTGTGAATTTATATACATCCAATTCTGCAAACCGCGCGAAATCTTTTTCAGTCATGAAACGCAATTATGAACAGAATTAAAGTAATAATATCATACATTAAATTGACAAGCAATTTAATAATATTAGTGCTAATAATAAATATGTTATAAAAATATTAATATATAATTTGATGTTAATAAGAAAAATTGCGAATGGTTTATTATCTCAAAAAATATTACCTCAGCCAGAGTTGAGCACACAATTATTAAATTGCTGTGATATTACTTCTCTACTTTCGTTTATAATTGCCTTTCAAGACTGAAAAAGATTTCGGTACTTAGTTCGCAGAATTGGATGTGTATAAATTCATATCGCGAAATATTAAAGCATCAAGATTCACTTTGATCGAAAATAGGATTTCTCTTATATAATTAGATTTATTCTCATCGGTCCAATTTCAAATTATTGATTACATTATGCCACTGCATTTTCTGTAGATACTTTATATAAAATAGCCTTTAATAAATATTAAGCATAGAGCAATTGAATTTATCATATTTAATTTTGATTTAATTTATTTGTTTTTATTTTGTTCTGATTCTTAGAATACTGGAAAAAGAATCTGATTACATTAATTGGAATTCTAGTAGAAAAATTAGAGATTTTTATAGTTATTTATTAAATCTATTATATTAATTCTAATCGAGGTATCTAATCACAATGATTGGAATTCCGATTGATATAATAGAATGTTTCATTCATTTTCAACTGAAAATTTTTTTCAATGTAGATAACGACAAAAATTATAAATCAAGATTAAAATTAATCTAAAATTAATCTAGAGATATAAATTAACGATGTTCCGACATATGTACTCGTTAACTTTCTATTTTGCAGGTGACCCGAAAAGCTTTGCAAAACGAGCCCTTCTACGACGAGTGTGGCGAACTGATTGCCGATTCCTCGGTCGCGTCCCGATTGTACCCCGCCGTTGACGGCGCGGAAAAAGCGAACGAGATACTCAGCGTAAGCGGGTGCGGAGATTGCCTCACTGCCGGAATAATTTACGGGATTCATAAGAATCTCGACGAGATCGGTTGCATCTCTGTGGCTCTGAAAGCCGCTTCACTCTCGCTGAGATCCTTCGACGCGGTTCCACGAACGCTTCGAGACGTTCTCCGACGATAAAGTTTTGTTTTAATACAATATTTTTTATAATTAATTTAACTGACTGTCTACGATTGGCACTTAAACTTTGAATTGTCCTACTTTTTATAAATACGTACTTTGTTATTACCTATATATAATGATGACATTCTTAGAAAAATAAAGGACAAATTTGAAAATTTTAGTCTTTATTCTTAAATATTTCCAAATTAATTTGTGATTGTCAGAAGTCTGCGCATTAATTTCTAAAATTTTTTTATTTACAATATACGTGAGATAAATTTTAATAAGCACAATATTAAAATATAACATTAAATTAACTGCAAATTTGATTATTAAAAGTTACTTTTCAATCAATCATGATTCATTTTAGATATTCGTTTGGATATTATTGTTTTAGCTAATTATCTGTTTTAGCTAATACTGCTGCATGTAAAACGAAATTTGTCGGTAATGTTTTCATAAAAATTCGCTCATTAGTACACGAAATATTATAATAATAATTAGAAAGAAATTTCCTGTTATTATGATGGAAAATTGAATTTTGAGAAAAAATAAATGAATCTAAGACAGTTACTTGAAATAAAGGACATTTTTTACGACAAAGAATATATATGAGCACCATAACTATACTACACAATTACTGATATTACTACTACTACTATTACTACTATTACTACTACTACTACTATTACTACTACTACTAAGTAAATTGTTATTTTACATTGATTAATCGCACAAGGGATTAGACAACGTATTTGTAAAATCAATATGGATGTTTTTCCACCTAGCATCGTCCGATATGTTTGTATCGGTGGTCGCCGATAGGTTGGAATTATCGGAGACCGAATGTTCATTTCCTGAAATTGCTTCGATCATCCTGTCGGAATCGTTCAAAGAAAGATGCAACAAAAGCAGCCGCGCGCGAGGCGTAGAACCCATAGAACGGGCAACGCAACGCATTCCCCAAAGCGCTACAAGGTGTACGCTACACGGTGATGTGACAAGTCGATCAGAAAAAAAGAAGTAGGTCTCACGTGCACCTTCCGCACCGTCCGCGACGGACATAGACGGACTCCAAGTGCGCGGCATTAATAAGACAAGGATGAAACATCGGGAGTGCAGCCAAGTGCAGAAGAGTCCGAGTCCGAAGCAACACGAAGCTGCAAGTAGCGTAGCGGCTACGCAAACAAAGTGGTGGGGAACCAATAGCGGGATGTCGGAGACGATCACGTGGCACGCTCCATGTCGTTACGTGTATACTCGAGCGATCGAGAGGGCGCGACCTGCGGAACCGAGAGAGACCGAGTTTCGGGACGAGCGCGTAAACACGAGGGAGATAGGTTAGATTCGTATTAAAGAGAAAGAGAGGTGTCGACGGTGAGGCGCGAGGAGAGGAGTGGCAGCACACATACGCGCAATATGCCCTTATACTCCGACCGCGTACTCTCGCGGGCAGACGTATTCATTGGTATATAGTTATATACACATACACGCCGTGGTAAACGTAGAAACGAAAGAGCGAGAAAGGGAGAGAGGGAGAGAAACGGACCAAGCGAGCGCCGTTACGATAAAAGACAAGTTTTTCGGAGAGCATATTCGCTTCGCAGAGCTGTTCAATGGTCGTGGCAGCTATGCTCCACGCCGCCGCTGTCGTCGTCGTCGTCGTCGTCGCCGTCGTCGTCGTAGCCGCCGCCGCCGTAGGGCGCTTAACTAGCTAGTTCCGACGGGCCAGCGTCTCGGTGCTCGCCAGTTAATAAACGAGCACGAGTACGTTACGACGCGTCGAGCGCGACTCGGATCTCGTCGTCGTCGCTGCCGCCGCTACCGCCGTCACCGTCTCGCCGTTGCCGTTGCCGTTGCCACCGTCGCCGCCGTAACAGTCTCCCCCCGAAGATGACCATAATAGTATTTTTGATCGACACATCGGCCTCCATGAATCAGAGGGCTTATTTGGGTGGGCGGCCTACGCTCTTGGACGTAGCCAAGAGCGCCGTGGAAACCTTCGTCAAGGTACGCCCAGGACAGCAGCTTTTTACTGTCCCGTCGCGTCGCGCCGCGCCACGCCACGCCACACCGCGCCGCGCCGAGCCGAGCCGAGTCACCGTCCTCGTCGTGTCCGTACGGGATACACAGGGATGGAAGGGGACGAGGGAAAAGAAGAGGGAAGTATATCTATCTCTTTCATCTTCCCTTTCCGCGTTCTCTCCGTCTCTCTCTCGTTCGGGCACCTAGCCTTCTCGATGACGAGGAGGGTAACGCGGTTCGTGCTCTGAATGTGGGAAGCGCGCGCGTGAAGAAAAAAAAAGGCAGAAAGAAAAAATATAAGTGAAATAATCCTTTTTCTAGGTTCGACAGAGATCGCCGGAGAGCCGCGGGGATCGTTACATGCTCCTGACCTTCGAAGATCCACCTCAGAACATTAAGGTATATCCTCGGTCACGCGTTTGTTCCTCCTCTCTCTTTCTCTCCCATCGTTTTCTTTTTCGCTTTTCCACCTCCTTTGTATCTCCCGCATCTCGTCTACATGTGTCTCTTCATGTCGTTTAACTTAGCCTATCTTTGCGAGGATGCTCCCGGAGAGGTGTTCATTCTCTTTCCCCTCCCCCCTCCCTTTTCTCTTGAACCGTCCTGAGTTTGGGTTAGGTTCGCTTAATGGCGCCGAATAATTAATGCGCGGTGGATGATATGAAGGAGCGAACGTGCACGGACGTGTCTCTGTTCTGCGTCAGTAGTATGGCTCTCTCCTCTCTCACCTCTTCGTCCCTGCCTTCATTCTCTACCCTGTGGCACACGACTGCGAAAGATATGCGTCGCTGGAGGTGCAATGGCTGGGAAAGAAAGCGCCGTCCAAGAGGAAAAGGAAAGGCGCCTTTGGCGCCCTCCTGCATCGCGAATTTTGCGCGCCAATTTTGGCGAGATTCAAACTTAGAGCCTCTATTTAAATCCACTCTTAATTCTTTATTCCTTGTTCTTATCACTTCCGGATTATAATTCACCTCGTTCTTTTTACTTACAATCTATTCTGCAATCAATCTCTTATGATCCGAAACATATGGGTATGAAATGAGAGTTGAAATCGAATCTTTTCCCGCATCCCTTGTTT